CCGTCTTCTCTCCCCTCCGGAGAGCTGCCACTTCTTCTGTGTTTCCGCTCCTTCTTTGTACTCGGGTCCCTGTTTCAGAGACGGGTAAATGTGTTTTAGTAAGCGTCTGCTCTGTTCTTCAAAAGTCGCACCAGATCGATAGGTTGTATATAAGCGTGTTTATTACCCTGATCGACCCCTCCTGCTGATGGATGTGCTTACCAGCACGTTACTGCCAGCTCTCCCTTAACGCTTTGTAGTCCCTGCACTAACGCGACCCTGAGGTATCTGGATTTTAATGGATTTCCTTCCAAAGATGGAAACGGGAATTTCCTTTGCAAGATGGAGAGGTTAGCTGTCAAATTTGGAGGTTATATGAGCAGAGGGGCACAGCTGCTGTGCAGGGGCAGGAGACATGAAGGTTGGTGCCTGCGTCCCAGGTCCCCTCTCTGACCGATTCTGCTCCACGTTTGTCTTTCCCCCCGCCCCAACAGATCATTTTTGCCGACGAATGCACTGAGGCCGAAGGGCGGCACTGGCACATGAAGCACTTCTGCTGCTTTGAATGTGAGACAGTGCTGGGGGGGCAGAGGTACATCATGAAGGACGGCAGACCCTACTGCTGCAGCTGCTTCGAGTCCCTCTACGCCGAGTACTGCGACACCTGCGCCCAGCACATCGGTACGTGCCGCCAGCCCGGGGCCGACGCGCTGCGGGAGGGGAGCCGGGCAAACACCACCTTGGAAGGTTGTTTCTGGCAACAAGGGCTGTTGCATTGCGTCTTTGACAACGGCTTGGGACTGCTCATGCCCCTCTTGCGTCTTGCCAAGGAGCTAGCACAGTAATTGGTTTGGTTAAGCCACTGCTTATCCCTTTTTGTGGTCAGAGAGGGGAGGACTATCAGAGAGCAACCTCGGGAGCTGTTGCCACTAGTGGAAGCTTTCTCTGACCTAACGTAACACACGTTTTCTTCCTTTTAAATCTTGTTTTCCTGTAAACAGCCTGACTCTTCAACTTGCAGATTCTCCCCAGCCAAGCCTGCCGAAGGATTAGACGAGTTAATGAGCTGCCGACAGGAAAGATGCTTGTTCATTAGGCATCATTGCTGTTTATGTTTGCCTTTTTTAATCAACCTGCAGGTAGATGTTCTCAGACAGAAAGAAATAATGCATCAGAGTCAATCTATGTTTCTAGAACAGTGATTTAAAATATACTTTATTCTGTTGGGGGATGGTGAGCCGGGTGGGCTGGGAAGCCGCTCGCTGCTCTCTCCAATCCTGTTTGCCCCTTGGCTGAGCGCTTGCATGTGCGGGCGGGCGGGCAGGCAGCCCTTTCTTTGTCCATGGAGGTGAGCTCATGTGTTCAAATCATTCGTAGGCTGCAGGGAAAGAAAAAAACAAACCATTTTGCTCTTGTGCAGCAGCCAGATGGCATGGGAGGGAAAGACTCAGGGCTTCAGCGGAGCGCTCGGAGGACGTGTTTGCTGTGACCTGCAGCACATCCTTCCCAAAAGCTCAGCTGCCGGAGTGGTGAAGAAGCAGGTGTTAATGCTTCTTGTGTGCTCCCGTCTCTCCTGCTTCCCCCATCTGCTGTTCTCCCCTCCATCCATCTGTCCGGACCTTGCCAATGCCCAGGTTTTTGGGGCAAAGTGCCTGTTTTGGTGGATATCTGCACATTTCTAGCAAAGGAGGGACTGCAGCCATTTTGCTGCAAGTTGCTCGTAGTAGTTACTGAGCATCGTGCTTAAGAGCCACATAAATCAGAGGTAAGCGCGTACTTGAGACTCGTAAGGCTTGGGTTGGGTAGCTGAGGACAGAGTCAGGAGACTGTTCTCTTCCTCTGCGAGATGTCTTTGGGGCACTGGGAAAGGAGCTGATAAAATCCCACCCACCGCCTCGTCTCTCTTCTGTCCACTCCAGTCCATACATAAAAACATTTTGCTCATTAAAAAGGAAGGAAAAAAGCCCGATTACACTAAAGCAACTTTGGCTGAAAATAAAATGGACTGTTAACGTACTGTTTGTTTGTAAATTATCCGCCCCCCCGCCAGCGACACGGCTGTGGTGGGCGTGCAAGCACGTGCTGTGCACACGTGCAGCGGGGCACCCCGCCGTGCTGCCCAGCCCATGCCCTGCTCTGCAGTTTCTCCGGTAACAGGGCCTTTCTCCATGAACGGCAGCTTAAACGGGCAGATAAACGTTATAATCGAGACCTCGGCAGCTTTGCTCGTGGCGCTGACCGAGAGCGACTCGCATGCAGCAGTCATGGCTCCCATGGCTCTGGCTGGTGCCTGCGAGCAGCCCCGGGGTCTCGCTGGCAGGGGACAGGCTCTCTGCATCAATTCCTTTACTTAACCCAAGGGACGGCCCCTGGAATGTGGCTGGGTGCAAGGCAGTGGGGTGTACTCACATCCCTGGGGCTG